GTTTCTTAAATGAAATGCTTGCCTATGAGTGAGCTGGACTCTCAATCTCAGAATGCACATGAAAATCGCTTGTAAAAGTCTATAGGGCCACAGAGAGTACAGGAGTGAAGGTACTCACTTTGCACATAGCCAGCCCCAGTTCAAATGCCACATATGGTCCCCCCGAGTCTTGTCAAGAGTGATTCCTAAGCAGAGAGCCAGGAATAGCCCCTGAGCACTGCAGGATGTAACCTAAAAACAAAAGTCTTGGTGCTGGGGTGTGGCCCACTGCTACAGCACACATACCTCACATGTCTGTATGCAAATTCTGGCACTGCCCTCCACTAAAAGAAAATTCTGATGCACAGACCACATCCTAAACAACCCAGTTAGAATGAATCCCTCAGTGTGAAATTAGGCATTTTTAAACCAGGTCTGTTTGTTTTTTTTAAGTACAAGATAATGTGCAATCAAGAATAAAAATACTCTGAGACTCATTTCAAAAACAAACCACATTAGCATACCAGATTTTATTACAAAATAAAAAGTTCTAGTCATTTATTTGCCAAAATCTTTTCCACTGATAAATGAAATAATTTCACTAATAAATGTAATCATTAACCCAAAATTCATTCACCTTCCAGTCCACAACTGTACCTCATGGTGTCTCACTAATAAAGATTTAAAAAAAAAAGAATCATTCACCTTCCAAAAACAAACGACAAAATTAGCTCAAGAAAAACAAAGAGTTTACTGCACTATAAATTTAAATATCTTCATTTGGCAACGAAGTCTAAGTCAGAAGTTAATGGGTTTTTTTTCCCCTGGGGGGGAACTGTTTATTGGTTTTGGGGCCACACCCAGCCGTGCTCTGGGGTTACTCCTGGTTCTGCACTCAGGGACCACTCCTGGCAGGCCTCAGGGGATCACATGCGGTGCCGGGGACCAAACCCTGGTCAGCCTAACTCCCCCCTGTACTATTGCTCTGGCCCAGCTAAGTTCATTTTTATCTGTAAAACTTCTATAAATGTGTGTATTTAAAAAATAACTATTATCTGCCTTTACAAATTCTTTCAGGCAAAAAAGTTACCATATTCCATTTAGGATTTAACTTAAAATCAAAAGGAAGGAAGGATTTAGAATAATCCCATGTCTTTAACAAATCTAACTACCTATTCACAAATCATGAGAACAAAGTATAGGACAATGAGCTTTTTCCCAAGTGCAAGTGAATTGCCAATAGTGGCAGCATAAAAAAACTGACTTAAACCTAAATGACATGCAGGAACACCAAACACATCCAAACCAACCCACATACCACATAATTCAACACATCCAGGCAACAGAGAATGAGGGAAGAAGTAGCAGCGCTACGGCCAAGACTGGGCAGACCTCTAGAGGCTCATTTTATCTTTCCCTACCACTGTGCTTGTTACATTACCAAAGGAGTCTTGGTTTTACGTTGCTTGAGCTTTCATGTGGAGGGAAGGAGGGAAATTGTGCTGTATAAGTTACTACTAATTCAAAGGAGTCTTAGTCTAGGAAAATAATAAGTGAAACAATAAGAGCAATATAACAACGAAACCTGACAGTTCTACACTGCTTGAAACATGAAGGTGATCAGGTCATTCTTAAATGCGTAATCTTTTTACAAATTCAGAAGAACCACAAATTACGGAGTTACAAACCACCAACTAGTCAAAAGAAAATTATAGCTTATAAAATATTGGCTGAGTGCCAATAAGAATGAATTTTTTCCTCAAAAAAGTGTTGTAAGTCATAATAGTTTCAAAAGTGACTATAACCATAATCTTCAAAAAGTAATGCATTAAACAATAAATAAAAGTAAGTCTTTCTTGACCCAAACAAAGTATAAAAAGTCCACAAACTGGGCTGGAGCAATAGCACAGTGGGTAAGGCGTTTGCCTTGAACGCGGCCGACCCGGGTTCGATTCCCAGCATCCCATATGGTTCCCCGAGCACCGCCAGGAGTGATTCCTGAGTGCATGAGCCAGGAGTAACCCCTGAACATCACCAGGTATGACCCAAAAAGGGAAAAACAGAAAGTCCATAAACTATTCCCAACCACTATAGTAAAATACCACCTTAGAGGAAAAAGTGGACGATTTTACAGCCATCTGACCATATCATTACTACATATGTATTGACTGTAGCACTGTAGCACTGTCCTCCCGTTGTTTATCGATTTGCTCAAGGGGGCCCAGTAACGTCTCCATCATGAGACTTGTTGTTACTGTGTTTGGCATATCGAATACATCACAGGTAGCTTGTCAGGCTTTGCCATGCGGGTGAGATACTCTCAGTATCTCTGGCTCTCCGAGACAAACGGAGGGACGGAGGAACTGAACTCGGGTCGCCCAGATCAGCTGCGTGCAAGGCAAACACCCTACCTGCTGTGCTATCGCTCCAGCCCATATATTGACTATTTTATCATTACTTCAAACAATTGATTCAATACCTCAGTAATGATAGAAATAGTGAAATACGGAATCCAAATAATAACGAACAGAGTAATTAAATACCTCCCCCAAAAGCTATCCTTTGAAAACAGCATAATCTTAACGTCAACCTGAAAGTATTCCTTTCACTCTGCTGCCCAAATGTAAAAGGAGAAGCTGACATTTTGGAGGCAGACTGACCAAAGAATTCAAATTCCAGTTATATAACATCTGAGCTAGAAACCACCTTAAGTCAATCCAGACCCAGACTTTTTCTTGGGGGGGGGGGTAAAAGGGGAGGTTATTTGTGCCAATATCTAGTGCTACACAGGGACTCCTGGCTCTGTGCTCAGGGGTGGCACTAGGGTATCATATGCAGTGTAGGGGATCAAATAGGGCTGGCTACTAGCAAGCCAAATAATACATTACCTCCTGTGCTATCTCCCCCCTACCCCCCAGGCCTCACTCTTACTTATAAAACAAAACACTGTATCAAGGAGGCAGGACTAAGCCCTCAGCATCTGGTCCAAAAGATAAAAAGTAAAGTGAAAGTGATAAGAGAGCCAGGATGAAGCTCAACGGTCAAGCACAGGCTTTGCATACATGGGACCTGACTTCAACCCCTGCCACAGCCCAAGGGGAGGGAAAAAAAGAACCCAAATAAAAAACTAGATACTAGATCATTTAATGATCTGATTTACATTTGATATCTAAAAAAATTAAAAAAACCTCATTGATACAAGAAAGATTAGTACTGATAGGCAAAGTTAAGAGCAGTGATGGGTGAGACAGAAAATGAATAAAGATAGTCGAAAGGTACAAACAGGGCCAGGTATGTAGCTCAGCAGTAGATCTGGCACCTGACATGTGGAGGACCCAGGTGCAATCTCCAGTTCCATTCCAAAACATTACAAGTAGTACCCATTTACAGAACAAGTCACTAGAAAAATAATTACTTAAATACTAATGTGAACATACCACCTCAAATTTCAAAAACAGTAAAATAGTAGAACAAAAGAATAAATCATATAAATGTACAGTATGGTAATCATAGTTAATACCGCATCATTTATGTATTTGGAACTTACTGAGAGCAATCTATGTAATGTTGGTAATCTTGGTCTTGTGTATTCATCGATCATATAGCACTGTAGCACTGTCCTCCCATTGTTCATTGATTTGCTCAAGCGGGCACCAGTAATGTCTCACAACAAATTGTAAGACTTGTTGTTACTGTGTTTGGCATATCGAAAATATGACGGGTAGCTTGCCAGGTTTTGCTGTGCGGGTGAGATACTCTCGGTAGCTGGCCTGCTCACCGAGAGGGGCGGAGGAATCGAGCTCCGATCGGCCAAGTGCAAGGCAAACACCCTACCCGCTGTGCTATCACTCCAGCCCCATCTATCATATAATGATGACATTTTGATAGGTGTGTAATGATTAAGCCTACCCATACTACAGTGAACATATTGGGGGGGGGGGGGGCACGCCTCAGTGCTCAGGGATTACTCTTGGCTGTGCACTCAGGGATCACTCCTGGTGGACTCAAGAGGCCATATGAGGTACTGGGGATCGAAATGGAGTCAGCTGCAGGCAAGGGAAGCGCCCTACCCGCTGTACTCTCTCTGGACACGCATTTAATTTATAGAGGCAAGACAATGAACCTGTACTATAGAATGTATGTCCCAAGTTATAACGTGAGAATAAAAAGAATAAAAATAAAAACAATTTATTTTGCAAGTTATAGCTAAATTGGTGGATTTTCCTGTCTAACATAACTGATATGACTATCTAAACACTGTTCTTTTTCCTTGTAAAGACAATGGCCTCCTCTGTCCTTCACCTAGTTCAAGTTCATCCTACCCAGCACTGTATCTCACCCACACTTGTTTCAAAGAACAATGCTCTATCTCCTCACAAAGTCCTATATGTCCTACATCTCTAGCTGGACTATAAATTACTAAAGAGGAATTCTTGTTTTATAATGCAATCTTCAGAAGTATCTTAAAATACCTTGCCAATAAACTGCATGCATATTCAATGACCAATTCACTGCAATTCAAAATTAGGCCACTTGAGGGCAAAGAGATGGTTCAGTGGTGAAAGCCCCTGCCCAGCAAGCAGAAAGGCACAAACGTGATTCCTGGTGCTGTCACTTGTGCCGCGGACAATCCTGGCAGCCTTGCTGTCTGTGGCTGAGCAGCCATGTACCGGAAACAATTTCCAACATACTAAAGGACACTGCAGCCAGAGTCCAACCCCTCGTGAGAACATACTGGAATACTACAGCAACCCCCAGTGAGTACAACCAGAATGTGTGAACACAAGCCCCAGCAAGCAGTGAAACTTAACAATGAAGTCCCCGCAAGCACTACAACCAAGCTCATGTTCAACCCATCGTCACAGCATCCCTGTTGTTGTTGGAAGGGGGCCAACACTGACCATCTTGTCTTTAGGAAAGAAGATGGACTCTTAAGACGAAACCCGGTACACTAGTTCTATGACAATTTCCTGAATTCATTATCAAAGCACAGTATGGAACCTGCTGACACTTTTGCTTACCAATTCGCAAAAAAAAATCCACAGTACTCTGAAGTACAGGTCGGCTGGAAGTCTTCGAGGCGCTTTCTGGATGAGGGAAGTAGCTCAGTGGCCCTGGGGTCAACGCCTGGAATCATAAAAAGAAAAGAAAAGAAAATTTCTTAAATTTTCAGAGGTCCTTTTAGGAACTTAGAAGGCCAAAAGTATTTTCTTAACCATACAGAGGCATTGTGTGTGCCTTTTTAATTCTTACTCTCACCAGTGCAGAATTTTCCAGAAGCTGTATAATATGTGGAGGTATTATGTAATGAAAGGTGTTAAATTTGGAAGTCAAATACATTTCAGTAACCTGGGCCCAGCGAATGTTTCAGCAGCTGACAGTGACTGCCATAGGATTCACTGAAAACAGAACCAACACTCTGATCACTGGTGAGACGGCTGAGTTCAGCCTCAAGAAAAAGCAGGATGAAGACTTCTGAAAGTGAAGATGGGGGTGCAGCAGTTAAAGATGTAGGCCTGGTATGAATCTGACCCCCGGATCCCGATCACCACATGATCACCACCCGAGCAAAGCCGGGTATGGCTCTGGAGGGCCCCCAAGCACCACCAGGGCAGTTCTAGTGGTCTCTGGCACCAGGGGGTCCAAGAAGCACCTGCACCAAACCTCCAGCGAGGCTGGCTGAGTTAGCACCAGGTGCGCTTCCTTGCGCTTCCTGAGCACCACTTGAGAGATTCCACTCCAAAAAAGGGGGGGGGGGGGAGGGGAATAGTAAAAATAGAACTCCTGTAAGGCCAGTAATTCTATTCCTACATCTATTCCAAAAACACCAATTCAAAAAGATAACTGCACATGTATGTTCACTGCAGCACTATTTATAATAGCCAAGATCTGAAAGCAATCCAAGTGTCTGACAAGAAATGATGGATAAATTGACTGTGATATATATATACTCAATAGAACACTACTACTCAGCTATAAGTTGAAATCTTGCATTTCACTACAACTTCAGTCGAACTGGAAGATGCCATACTAGGTGAAATAAATTAGGAGGAGAAAGACAAATACCAGATGATCTCATTGATGTAGAATATAAAAAACAAAGCAAGGAAATAGACAATGATGAATGCAAACAAGCCCTAAGGCAACACCAGCAGAACTGAGGCACCCAACCAAGGGGGGGAGGGCCGGGGACAGTGGATGAGAAGGGTCCTAGGGACAGCAGGAGAGGGGTCTGGGCACACTGATGGTGGCTGTGGCGCAGTAACAGCATGTGCCTAAAACGTTAAGATTAATGGTATTGCAAATAAGAATACTTCAGTGAATTAGATTTTTAATTAAAAAAAATTTAAATGAAAGCTCCCATCTTGCAAGTATGAGGTCACAAGTTCTTCCCTGGTGCCATGACAAGCGCCAAAAACGGCGGAGGGCTGCTGTCCAGGACTCTCGGCACAGCAGAGTGTGTGAGCTCCGGGGCACGGCCATGTGTTTACAGGCACTGCAATTACAGTGTGCAACCGGGAGCTCGGCAACAAACAATACCCGGGCCCCACAGCAGGAATGTGCCGCCCAACAGTCTCAACCTGCACTACACCCCAGAATGTACCACACATATCTGAGCGCAACCCCAGAAAGGACAGGTATAAGGACCAAACTGAAGTGTGCAACCCCAGTGATGTCACAAGAAAAGTATCTAAGTACTGCAATCAAGCAAGCAGCACCCAGGGAGCACAACCAATTACACAAGCACATGTGTAGCCTGTCTCAGCGACAACAGAGGGAAAGGAAGGGGGACTACCAGGGCCTGAGAGAGTGTCTGGGGGTGTGGGGATTTTCCTGGTAGGTGATTCAATCACCCGCATGGCACAGTCGGCCAAGCACCACCAGAGCTGAGTCAGTAGCAGTCCTGGAGTACCACCCGATTAGACACAACCTCCACACCCAGAATAATAATAATCTAGCAAATAACAATAAAATAACAAAACTGAATAATTTAGTGAGTACTTTCCCAACGGGTCAGAGTGATAGCCCAGCGGGTAGGGCATTTGCCTTGCATGCGGCCGACCCGGCCGACCCAGGTTCGATTCCTCCACCCCTCTCGGAGAGCCTGGCAAGCTACGAAGAGTATCTCGCCCGCAGAGCAATACCTGGCAAGCTACCCGTGATGTATTCAATATGCCAAAAATAGTAACAACAAGTCTCACAATGGAGAGGTTACTGGGCCCACTTGGGCAAATCAACGACGGGAGGACAGTGCTACAGTGCTAATTTCCCAATAAACAATGCACAATGTATAACATCTGAATCAACAAGAGATCCATTCAAAAATATTACAGACCTGCGAGTACTTTAGATATTACAATTATCTAGTGCTGGAGAGAGTCCAGAGACCAGAGTGTGTGCCTTGCAGGTGGCTGACCCAGGTTTGATCCCAGGTATCCCATAAGGTCTTTCAAGCCCAATGGCAGGACCTGAGTGCAGGGCCAAAGGTAAGTCCTAAGCATCGGTGGTCATGCCCCCACCCCCCCCCAAAAAAAATACATAAAAATCAGGGCCAGGGAGCCAGATAGTGTGGGCATTTGGATGCACAAAACTAAAAAGAAAAAAGAAATTACTTTTGTCAAGTGTAGGTATCTTAGCAAAGAAAAACATACAATTATGTGAGAACACTATTAATAGCACTTCTTCCTGTCCCACCTTCAATTCTACAGAGTCAAATTTTCGTCTATTAGAACACATCACGGAGGGCTGGAGTGATAGCACAGCAGGTAGGGCATTTGCCTTGCACGCAGCCAACCCAGCATCCCATATGGTCCCCCAAGCACCACCAGGAGTGATTCCTGAGTGCAGAGCCAGGAGTAACCCCTGTGCATCGCCGGGTATGACCCAAAAAGGGAAGGGAAAAAAAAAAAAGACATATCACAACAGATTAAATACATAAGTAGATATCACTAAATATTTTTAGAAACTAGTTTTCACTTTTCTAAAAAAAATTAGTTGTGGAAAGTAGGAAAAACAAATGTCAATCAAAGAATAAAAAGTCAAAGTTACAGAAGCCTGGAAAACGGTTTAATCGATTTAAGTGCTGCCTGGCGTGCATAAGGCTGAGTCCAAACTCAGGTGCCCTACACAAACACTAAAGCACTCACTCCTAACACTGCTAAGAGTCGTGTTGGCAGAGATGGCAGAGGAAAAAAGGCCTGGAACACAACTCTGTGGCTGAGAACATGCCCAGGGCAAGCAGGAGCTCTCTGGGAGAGCATGGAGGCAATATGACTACCCCATGATCTGGGTCCCCAGGATGTAAAAATTTTTTAAGAAACTGCAATCATGCGGGCCGGAAAAACAGTACAGTCGGTAGGCCACATACCTTGCACACGGCCAACCCAGGCTCAATTCCCAGCATCCCACATGGTCCTCTGTGCCCCTCCAGGAGTAATTCCTGAGTGTAGAGCCGGGAGTAACCCCTGAGCTCCACTGGGTATAAAACAAAAACACACACAAAAAAATTGCAATTATGCAAGGTAAGTCTAGATACCTACTGCAGCATAATAATAGCTTAAGTGAACAAATATTATATTGAACACTGCAACTTACTAAGAGGATATTTCAGATGCTCTCACCACGGAGGAGGGAGGGAGCGGGGGAGAGGGGAACCATGCATAGACATGTTCATCATAATTCAACTGTACTAACCAACTGTAACTAAATATACATCAAAGTATCATCTTATATACCTTAAATACATACAGTTCTTTTGTTTTTTGTTTTTGTTTGTTTGGGGGCTACACCAGTTGATACTCAGGGCTTACCCCTGGCTCTCTGTTACCTATCAGTCCTGACATTCACGGGACAATATGGGGTACCAGGAAATCAAATCTGGGTGGGCTGTGTGCAAGACAAGCACCTTACCCGCTATACTGTTGCTCCCATCCCTACAACTTTCTTTTTTTTTAAATAGTCATCCAACATTTGTAATATATGAGAGAGAATTTACAATTATATAAAAATCAAGTTCTGGAAGAATCTGGAACAACTGAAGGCTTGGCCACAGGGAACAAAGGGATCCTATACAAATGAAGTAATTCCATTTTTTTTTGATTCAATATTATTTTTAATAGGGAGATGGTGTTGCAGCTTAAGACCCCAAGTTCACTCCCTGGCTCCAATTGGCACAGCCCTAGCAGCCCCGAGCTCTGCCAGGGGGGGCCAATGTGGCCCCAACAGCAACTCATCACAGGCTCGCACATCAAAACCCAGACCCACAGCACCAGGCTAAGAATCTCCAGGAGTGACTCAGGGTTCCCAAGCACTGCTGAAGAGACTATTTCTAAAAGCAAAGAGAACACCTAAAATCTTCAAATACATATTTATAGGGGCCACAGAGAGAGCTGAGTGGGCAGAAATCCAATGTTTGCAAGCAGGAGGTCAGGGTGCCGTCTCCAACACCACGTGTCCCCTCAGAACTTTGAGGAGACCTCCCCAAGCCAGAAATAGCCCCTGAGTATAGCTGAGCACAGGCTGATTTTAGTATTCCCCAAAGTTCTCTGTCCAATTTCCCTGTCAACAGCAGCAACTTAGATTTTCAATTAAAGGATCTGACAAAAATCAACCATTCTCCTTAATTCCAATTTCATAAAGAATAGTCACTTGGGGGCTGAAGGTAGCAGGTAGGATGCCTGCCTTGTACATGCCAACCGGGGCTCGATCCCCCACACCCCATATGGTCCCCCAAGCCACACCAGGAATGGTAACTGAAGGCAGAGCCAGGAGTAAGCCCTGAGAGCTACCAAGTATGACAAAAGTCACTTAACCATATGACCTGTTTTAAGTCACCAAGAAGTGCTAAACAGTATGAGATAGCACTTATTAAACCCATACCATAAGCTAGGCATTATGCATTACTGACATTACCTCATAATACAACCCAGCAAAGCAAATCTTACAGAGCAAGAAACAGAATCAGATGTACCTGCCAAAGGTCACAGTTAATAACATAAAATCAGGGCTCACAATCAGGCCTATGCTGGCTCCAAAGTCCAGGTCTTTCTCCACTCTACCAGACTACTTCATAATCTGACCTGTGACTTATTCTCCCTGTCCTTGACCAAGTTACAGCTTCTCTCAGC